GTCAGCTTGCTTCGTAGCGATCGTCTGTGTCAGAAGACGCGAGACAGTAAATCAGCCGTGATATGGTCATGTGATCGGTTCTAACTTTTCAAGAGGGCCCAGATATAGAGGCAGTGTGTAACAGAGTCGAGTTTGGTTTACCACAGCGAGAGCTGCGAAACAGTACCAGAAGTAGACCAATTGAGTTTAGTACGACCCTATCCCTTAGTCTGTCGGACCGTTGGGGCATCACACAAAACCTGTTGATCATCTTTCTCCATTAGTACGACAGTATGGCTATGTACAGTGAACTGCTTTGTAGTCAGTGTATTGTGTAGCAAATTGTGTATAATTAGCTATTGATTTTTTTGTTTGTTATTAGCGTTTGTTATTTGTTATTAAAGTATCAAATTATTACAAAACGTGTATCGATTCATTCTGTCTGTCTGTCTGGTAAAAAGTTCGTACACATTATGTCTCACACACCCAATGTCGGATCAAGCTGAAATTTTGCACAATTATTTCTTTTACTTGACACAACACGAATCAATTAAAAAATTTAACCAATTAGTTAATTAACTAATGGTGATTATTTTTTTTTATCTCGAACAAAGAAAAGAAATTGTACTTGACTGAAATGGTAGTATAAGCTGAATTAGTTCCTTTTATAGGACGCCGTTCTAAATAGAAACAAACAAATATATAAGTATCTCACTAGCAAAGTGGTTAGCACGTTGGCCTGGGGAGGCGTGAGCCACGAGCTCGAATTCAGGTCGTTCCATTTTTTTTTGTATAAAGCTTTTCTAAACCAATTATGGTAAAATCTACAGATAACCCTTTCTCTCCCCCCCCCCACCCATTTTCCCAAGTGGTCCAGACAAATGATAAGATCATAGCGCATTGAGAAAGCTAAAAGCATGAAATAGCGCTAAACAAAAACAATGAGTAAAAAATACTAAAAAAAAATACTAAAAAAAAAATTATTATTTTTTATATCTTAATGTGTATCAATTAGTTTGTATCAGTCTGTAATTTAATTTGTTAATTGTATTTAAAAAAAAAGAAACGACCTTAATTCGAACTTGTGGGCAAAAGCCTCAAGCCAACACGGTAACCACTCTGCTAGCGAAGAGCCTATAAACATGGAAGATTGTATAGCAATAGTATTGTTTCTATTTCATGCTTGTGTGTACTAATCCTAAGACGGCAGCCTAGTATAAAGGGGACTAGCTCAGCTTATACCACAACTTCAGTCAACTAATGAATATTTCCCTTGTTCAAGATACCAAACAAAGTAATTTATTACGAATAGCTAATTAACTAACGTTTTTTTTTTTAATTGCTTCTTGTGTTGTTGGGTAAAAGAAATAATTGTGTAAAATTTCAGCTTGATCCGAGATTGGGTGTCTGAGAAAGAACGTGTACAGACTTTGGGCCAGACATACAGACAGACAGAGTTGATATAAGCTTTGTCGTTTGTAAATATTATTAATCGCACAGATTTATTTTCGTTGGTCTAGATCTATTACAAACTTAATTGCATGACTGAGCCAAACTAAATGGAACTCATTCACCAATCGTAAACAAACAACATTTTGCCTCGTGGTTCTCTAAATCTTCTATGCAAATTAGGCTATCCATAAAGGCTGTCACGTGAAACGTAATTTTCATTGTTTTATCAATATTGTCACGTGGCTAAATGTTGTTTGTTTACGATTTGGGAATGAGGTCCATTGATACAATTACAATTCCTATAGGTTTTTCTTGTTTTTAAATAGAATTTCGGACCCTTTCAAAATGAAGATTGTTACACCCTAGCAGGGGCGGACTGGGTGTCTCAATCGGCCCGGGCTTTTCTATTTCATCCGGCCCATTCATTGTATATTATAGGATGGGCATCCAATTCTAGGTCTACCTGTCATCAAAACCAGATAATACAAATAATACAGATAATATAAATACGTCCCTCAGTGGGACCCTTTTATAAGAGAATACTATAAAACCTTTATCAATTTTATACGTGACATCCATTTGGTCCTTATCTTATAAAATACAGACGTGATTTTAAAAAAAAAGATGATTACTGTGGTCCTGCTGACCCATTTAGGTACCGGACAACATTCATTTGCCCGAATGTCCATATAGCCAGTCGGCCTCTGCACCCTATAGCTTGAAACTCCATCAGGATGGCAAGAAATAGAAGCGGTCAGGGTTCGAAACGATGATAGTTTGAAGCACGTACCACGTGACCACGCAACAATCCCTTAGCAGCGGTTCTCAACCTTTTAGGCTCGGTGACCCCTTTTTACAATCCCCCACTCTGCCGCGACCCCCCCCCCCCCAACAGCAATAGAAGAATAGACAAAAAAAAAATCAATTTTTTCGATGGTCTTAGGCGACCCCTGGCAAATCGTCAATCGACCCCCAAAGGGGTCGCGAGACACAGGTTGAGAACCCTGTCTTAAAGCAAAAAGCGTGACAGCCATTGTTACATTTTAGTGAATTCGTTATGTTAGGATTAATACATATAAGTTCTTACAGGGCCGGCCTTAGGGCAGTTTAGAACAAAAGCGTGTTGCCGCGTCAAGACCTGCAGGACCTTGACAATGAACTATTGGTCTCCACAGCCCACAGGTTGTGACGAGTGGTGAGGCCTTCTTTAACGAATTGTTATTTCAAACTATAATTATAAAGAATCTTAACTCAAATTTAGTTTTAAAAAAAGTTTTGAAATTTAAAAAAAAAAATTATACGCATACAATTTAATGATCTCAATGAACAAAAATATATTATGTGCTTTTTAATTAAGACATTTTCCAAATAATTTGTACCTTTAAATATTACAACATTAACTGTAAATGAAAATACAAATTTTATGTAACAATGAAAGACCAACTTTGCTTTCTATTAGATCCGTGAGGTTTATAAGGTGAATAGGAAGAGACAAATTGGTCTTTGCGAGTATTGCATCGAGTTTTGGAACCACTGATATTTCACCAACAAGTCTAGATCAATTTTCGAAATTTTAGTGGTATCAAGACAAGCTGTACTATTCCTAGAACCTTTTTGCTTTTTCTTTTTATGTTAGCGGATCAACTACGCATCCAAACAAAAGTAACAAGTAAAATTTTTTAAAAAAGTAGAGTATAAAAACTACTTTAAAATAAACGCTAAGGGGAAGAACTCCACAATCACAGTCATATATATATATATCAAAGAGGGAAGGTGATATGAAATTAACAAGTACTTCTTTTTCTATTTCTACTCTATTTCTTTCTTCAAAAGTATAGCATGCTTATATGTAGGAGTATTTTTATTCATTAGTGGATCTTTATTAAAGCTTTCGTGAACCTCCACTTACTTACATCTGCGGCCCTGTAAAAATGTATATATTTGAACAAGCAATTGATTGTTATAAGTAAAATTACACTTTAAATGTCCTGACAGTTACACACTATATAGTGTGATGAAAACTGTCAAAGTAAAAACTACATTTCATTTCAAAACATAATTAGAAATAGAACAACTAAGATATTGCAAGAATCACACAAATTTTATTTATTATATATATATATATATATATAACAAATATAAGCCTATATATGACACACAGCTAAATTAAAATGACTATAAAGTAAAATGAAATAACTATAAAGTAAAATGAAATGAATATACAGTAAAATGAAATGACTATAAAGTAAAATGAAATGACTCAAATGAAAATAAAATGAAATGACTATAAAGTAAAAGGAAATGACTTTAAAGTAAAATGAAATGACTCTGTTACTAGCTTGGAAATAAGATTATTAACAAGTTCAGTCACGAAAGCAGGAAATCACTATTTCAAAATAAGTTCCAGTAAAAAGAATAAAAATAAATAATAATCTATATTTCATTGTTAAGAGATGAGAAGCAGGCTATCACCTTAGAGCTGGTTCTGGTTAATGTAAGCCTATAAAGCCCAAGCATATAATCCCAACTAGTCTATATTCTAAATCTGTTGTTTTTTTTTTGTTGTTGTTTTTTTGTCAGATAAAGCTAGGTGGGCTAAGGGGCTTCCTAAATATCCTGAATAAAATGACAATTTTTTTTTCACCGGGTTTCGAGCTCAAGACCTTTCGTTTTGTAAGCCAAGCGTTTTACCACTCGACCACCATGCGCCCCTCACCACCTGTATTAACATTGATCAGCGTCTAATCTGATCCAATATTTTAATGGCACTCACAGCCTGTTACACTGTAACAAATAATTTAATTTAAAGGTAGTTATTTATTCAAGATTATGTTAACCTAGTTAGAGATTAATCTCTTTTATTGAACATTTCATTGATAGTAAGCAGATGCAGGTGAACAGACTCTATAAATAATAAAGCATGTATATCTATAAAATCTCTCTCTCTCTCCGTACATATATAATGCAACTTGGACAAAGGGATGGCTGCCTGGTCGTGTGGTTTGCGCGCTGGACTGTCGTTCGGATTTATCGAGGGTTCAAACCCTGCCAGCTCCCATCCCCCGTCGTCCTGCAGGAGGTTTGGACTAGGAAGTAAACTAGCTTCAACTCTGAAAGAATATCCGAATAATGTAAAACAAACAAAACAAGAACAAATGCATTTGTAGTAGATTATAACCAAAAAAAAAATGCGTTTTTCAAATGCCGTAAAATAATAATGCGCAAAGGAACAAAACAAAACAGAGCATGATATGGAACAAGTTTTTGATTGGTCAGTGTCCAGGTCTCACTTGCATATGGCTACAGGTCTTGTGATAGTTTTGTATCTATACATATATCTTTGTTTTCCTCGATGTTCACTTGGTATAAGGAAAACAGTTGTGGCTATAGAAAGCCATGTCGCCTGCTGTTATGCGTTCCTTTATTTTGTCGGTTGGTTATTTTAACTCTTTCTCTCCGTTATTATTTACCATATTCTGGTGGAATCAACGCTGGTATCGTCAGTTAGGGGAGAAAGAGTTAAGTATGTATCATACTTCATGGATATTTCAGCTCGTCTAAATTTCAAACTTTTTTGTCAATATTTCAAATAGATTGTTCTTTTGCCTGATTGTCTCATGTCATTTTATTAATATACTAGGTTATACTGACATTGACCTCCAGCTCCTGCTGGTCGAAAGGCTTCCTCAAGTTGTGGGAAAGCCCTGGAAATGTCAGAGGTGACTTTACCCAATGTTGGTTGTGGACCCTATGTTTTCTCTCATGAAATAGTTTGTTCATTTTTTTATATACGTTCATGTGTGAATTCCTCCTATAGTGTTAAAGTGTAAAGTACACATGGTACTGAACCACACTGTCTCTTAATCCTATATTTTATGTCAATTTAATGCTTTTTGTTGTTGTCAATATGCAGTTGTAGTTGATTTTTTGTATGTAAATTTTTTGTTAATTGTAGGCTACATTATATTTTTTTAAAACATGAAGGTTGTTGTTGTTTTTTTTCAATCCATTTTCATGCAAGTGAGTCTACACACATTTGTTTAAGATCAGTTTTCTGTTTGAAAAGAAAAAAAAAAGTTTTTATACATTGGCATTTGTATCAACAAAATCATCTATCAATTCTATTGACATGATATAATGATATTTAAAAATTGAAGCAGGAAGTCTTGACTCCTTCGTTTTCGTATAATAAAATTAAATGTTTATTATAAAAACCTCGTATGCACAAACCTATATATTTAATACCTAGACTAGACACGGAGATCTCTAACAATACACAAAAAAATTGAAAAACTTCAAAAAAAGCTGAAACAAGGCGTTTGTTTTGTAAAGTAGTTATAGCAGTAGTTATAAGAAGTAAAGTTGTATTTACAGGAGTTGAACTGGTTGTTATAGGCTATTTGAGACGCATGCCATTAGGAAACATTTTATAATTAGTGGCGTAATGTACTAGATTAGAGAGTAGGTTAGTTTTGTTTGACAAATATATTGTGTATAGTTTTAGCGACAACGAAATGTACTAGATTGGAGAGTAGGTTAGTTTTGTTTGACAAATATATTGTGTATAGTTTTAGCGACAATGTAATGTATTAGTTTAGAGAGTAGGTTAGTTTTGTTAGACAAATATATTGTGTATTGTTTTAGCGACAATGTAATGTACTAGATTAGAGAGTAGGTTAGTTTTGTTTAACAAATATATTGTGTATAGTTTTAGCGACAATGTAATGTATTAGTTTAGAGAGTAGGTTAGTTTTGTTAGACAAATATATTGTGTATTGTTTTAGCGACAACGTAATGTACTAGATTATAGAGTATGTTAGTTTTGTTTGACAAATATATTGTGTATAGTTTTTGCGACAACGTAATGTACTAGATTAGAGAGTAGGCTAGTTTTGTTTGACAAATACATTGTGTATAGTTTTAGCGACAATGTAATGTATTAGTTTAGAGAGAAGGTTAGTTTTGTTAGACAAATATATTGTGTATTGTTTTAGCGACAATGTAATGTACTAGATTAGAGAGTAGGTTAGTTTTGTTTGACAAATATATTGTGTATAGTTTTAGCGACAATGTAATGTATTAGTTTTGAGAGTAGGCTAGTTTTGTTAAACAAATATATTGTGTATTGTTTTAGCGACAACGAAATGTACTAGATTGGAGAGTAGGTTAGTTTTGTTAGACAAATATATTGTGTATTATTTTAGCGACAATGTAATGTATTAGTTTAGAGAGAAGGTTAGTTTTGTTAGACAAATATATTGTGTATTGTTTTAGCGACAATGTAATGTACTAGATTAGAGAGTAGGTTAGTTTTGTTTGACAAATATATTGTGTATAGTTTTAGCGACAATGTAATGTATTAGTTTTGAGAGTAGGCTAGTTTTGTTAGACAAATATATTGTGTATTGTTTTAGCGACAACGAAATGTACTAGATTGGAGAGTAGGTTAGTTTTGTTTGACAAATATATTGTGTATAGTTTTTAGCGACGTAAAAGTAGTGACGTAGTCAGACAGACTAATGGCGTAGTGGACTTAGGCGAACAAGAGACCAACATGGCGTTAGGTTAGAAGTAGGTTGTTTTAAATAGTAGTTAAAGATAGCGATGTTTTAAATAGTAGTTAGAAATAGCTGTTTTAGGAAGATTGGACGGATTTCCCAGTGGTTAATGAAGTCTCCTTTTATAGAACTGAATGTTGTTATCAAGTATATTTAATTAATACTGTTCTGTGGTTAATGTTAAGTTATAAATGATACATAATCGAAAGCAGATTAGATTAGCCCATAACAGTGGAGTGCTTATAATCATTGCCTTCCGCCGATAACAATCTAATGGAATATTTCCACATTAATTTATTTGTTCAAAATGTTAAGGGTTTTTTTTTTCATAGAGAGCAAGTTAAAGTTGTCAAATATATAAATTTACAGAATTGGCAGGAGGCCAGACTTTTTTTTACTGAAGTAAATGTTTGCTATGAAATTCCCTACACCAGTGATGCCCAACCTAATTCAACCTGCGGGCCGTTTTAATTTCCAACACTTGTCTCGCGGGCCACATGATCTAAAAGTTACAAAAACTAAATAAAATTGTTCTGAAACTATTTTACCAGAACCCCCTGGATTTAGTGCTACATTCATATGATATTTGACGATTATATATTTTAAGCGTCAGAAAATAACTTTATTTCTCTACTAAAAACAGTGTAGGTACCTTAAAAACGGACTCATTTTTTTGTCTCTTTTTGGTAAATCGATCCTCCAATCTCTAGTTAATCAATCTTTTATTCGTGGTCCAAACCAAGGATGTCTCCATATTTATTTTATAATGCCGAAATATATGTTGTTATTTTTTTTAAACAGCCACACTTTCTGTATAGAGCAAAGATGTTGGCTTGTTATCATGTTCCACAAAAAATTAAGATCCGCCCACTTTTCCTGGTAGATTCTACATCCAGAGTTCCAGTTCATAAACTCTCAAACGTTAAAGGTCATGGTATCAATAAATCAGAGAAAATAAGAAAGCCTTAAAGTAGGTATAGACACATTTTTCAATTTTTTTTAAAGAAGGAATTTCTCCACTTTGTGCCAACGTTTCGGCCGGTCGGATGGAACCACGACGCAGGCCGGATCTGGCCCGCGGGCCATATTTTGGGCATCACTGCTATACACAATTGAACACATACTTTCTAAAAAAGGCGGAGCTTCTATTAATGCTGCAACAAAGACTTTGACCTGAACACAAGTTAAAATTTAAAAAAACCAACGACATAAATGAGATTTATTGTTAAATAAAGGGCGCGTTGGCTGAGCGGTTCAGCACTTGTCTTCCGAACCTGGGATCGAATCTCGGTGAAGACTGGGATTTTGAATTTCGGGATTTTCAAGGCGCCCCTGAGTCCTCTCGTTTGTAATGGTAACCTGACTTTATTTGGGAAAGTAAAGGCGCTGGTCGTTGTACTGGCCACGTGACACCCTACTCTTCATCTTTGGCCAAAGAAATGACACTAATATCATCTGCTATATATATTGCAAGGTCTGAAAAGGGAACTTACATTTCCTTTTTAGTTTTACTTCATTGTTAAAAACACACTAGATCACTGAAGCAAAATATTGCTAAACAGTCTCATTGTTTCAAGTCTTCATTCTAAAATGTATTTTTCCTAGTTTAAAAAAAAGGAATAATTTCTTCAGCCAGTTTAAAAAAAAAAATAAAAAATAAATCTAAAGTAGGAAATTTCAAAATGCGTCAGAATAATTACTAAAGTTTAACCAAAAAAGATTTTATTACCTAATATCTATTTTATGCAATTCTACAACACTTTTATACAAACAAACTAAAATGTGATATAAAAATTTCATCACAATTTTTTGTAACGAGCACTATTGCGTTGCATCATACAACATTACAGCATCTGTTAAATTGCCTTAAATGTAAAACCAGTCCTCAATGTGGTAGTAGAGCTTATTAAAACTACAAATAGTTCTGGTGAACTATATCACTACAATTTCAAGAGTTCCTTCTTTGAAATATGAATACTGTGATATGTTATAGTACTTCAAATTAAAATGTCGTAGTACAGGAATCGTTTTTCAAAAGTTTCGGAACTGACAAATGAAATAGCGTCATTACTCCATCAGAGAAAAAAACTGGTCTGTGGGCTGAGAAATATTTGAAAATTTATCATTGGTTGCGGATTTAGCATTTTTTTTTTTACAAATCTTCTCAGTCACACGAAATGATAATAAAAATCTGTTAATTTACTATATTAGGGATTAGGAGTCACTTTAAAGGTTTTAAACAAAAAACAAAAACTAAACGTAATCTATTGGCCAGTCAAAAAATGATTATCGTAACCCCATAATGCTAGATTTACTGACTGATGTGAAAGAAGACAAGATTATGAATTATGAAGATGCCTTGGAGTAAATTGGATGAATAAATTTAAATGAAGACTTCAAAGATTTAAAATAAAATTAGATATAGTCAGTAGACTTATAGATTGCAAGGTCTGATAGGGAAGTTTACTTTACTTCATTAGACTTATGGCTTTTAATTTAAATGTTTAGTAATAAAACTAGACTTGCTGCTTGGATTAATTAAACCCTTATCCAATAATCATCTTAATCATTTTACCATTTTTGAAAATGTTCCAAAATATGAGTTCCACTGAGACTTGACGAAATCAAGTTTTTCAAATTTATATATCTCATGCCCATAGGATCTCATGCCCATAGGATTTGTGAAATGTTAGGTGGCTGGCTGGTAAAGCGCTTAACTTCCTAACTTGGGGTTCTGGCGTTCGAATTTCTATAAAGACTGAGATCTTAAGAGCGCCTCTGTGTCCAGCAAGTTCTAACGGGTACCTTACGTAAGTTGGGGAAAAGTAAAGGCGGTTGGTTTTTGTGCTGGCCACATGACACCCTCGTTAGCTCAGGGCGCAGAAACATCTGATCTTTACATCATCTGCATTATAGGTTGCAAGGTCTAAAAGGAAACTATGATCTTTATATATTTGTGAGCAGTTTTTTTTTTTTGTTTTGCGATTATAAAATTTAGAAAAGTTGTGTCAGAAACAGTCAGACTGATGGACAAACCATTTCACTCTTAAGATTAGATGTGACAAAATGTAAACCAAATGATGACAACTTAATAATTAAAAAAATGCTCGCATCTTCCAAGATCTACACCGCATTTGTTTCATTTTGCAAACTTAAAATCTGCTTCTAAATCGTTTATAAATAGAATATATTAGAAAATAGAAATATTAAGACACGCC